TTCATGTCTGAAGCGGGATTTCCGGTCCCTCTGCTTTCCCCTAGGTCTCTCTACATGTTCCTTGAACACTTTCCATGGAATATTGTCATTCGAGTTTCTGTGCTTGCTTACTCTGTGCCCGGCTCTTCTTGGTTCCCTGGACGGTCTGTAAGGGCTGTGGTGCTGGGGATATGAACACACGTTGCACACACGTGAGTTGCTCTCCTCCCCTTGGAGCTGCACTCACTGTACTGTAACGGCATCGTCAGGTCGTCCTAGTTTCTTTTACCTGCTGATGACCTCTTCACCTGGGGCTTGGCCTCCTCTGTCCAAGGCTTCAGTGAGGTCGGATTGTTTCCATGAGTTACGCAAACTGTAGAGACTTGTCCCTGAGGTGATTGTTTTTTAAATGATGAAGTTTATTCCTACGACGGCTTAAAATGCATCCATTCATTTCCTTGCTGGTGTACTAACTCACCTCTGTCTGCCTGGTTCCTGTGACTTCTGTCTGGATCTGCCCCCTGCCGTAACTTTTCATTCCTGTGTTGGAATCACGGCACTTGAGTTACTGTCTTGTGGAAATGTTTCATGGGTAGTGACTTAGCTCTTAAAAACCCACCTGGCTATCATTTTACACTTACATCTCAAACAAACCTTAAAGCCTGCGCATTAAGCTTTTCAAAACTTTGGTGAGATTCCGAGCCTCTGTGGAAATTACACGGACATTTGGGTTTGGCTTTATGTTCATCCCCCTTCCATTTGTTCAAGCCTCCTGTGTCTTTCTGTTATGTGTCTGGTATCTCCTTACCTCGCTGTGTTTCTCCTCAAATGCATCCCTGAGCCACTGCCTAGGCTTAGATGTCACGAGGCTGTGAAGGGGGTTTTCTTGCTGTGCAGGAAGCTTTATGCTCTGCCTGGTAATGGTCATTTCTCCGAGACTCAACTGCATAGACGCTGATGGAGTTACTGCGTTTCTGCTGTTTTCGGCTTATTTTGCTGCCCAGTAGAATCTAGAATGGTGGTCAGGAGAGGCCTCTTTTCCTTGTTTTAGCTTCTGTGCATTGGGTGTGCCTCAAGTGTTCCCCTGAGAGAGTGCACACACACAGACAACGCCGGGAGATCTGTGTGCACTGAACTCTGACCCACAGCCTCTGTCAGCCATCTCAGGGAGCCAGACCACGGGGTCACCCAAGTCAGTCAGGACATGGCCCGTGACTGCCAGCCTCTGTTTCAGCCTCAAGTTCAACCTCAGGGCCAGCCACGCCACAGGAAGCCAGATGTGTGTGTCCCTGGCCAGAGAGAAGGTGTCTGTGTCCTCCAGGCTCCTCAGGCCCCATCCTCAGTGAGGCGCCTCAGGCCTCTCTCTGTGTCCTTCTGGCCCTCCAGCCTCTGGCTGCCCTGAGACCTGCCTTCCTCACTAGAGCAGGCTCTGGAGCTGCCTTCGCAAGCTCCCCTTCAGGTGACCTTGGTTTGTTCTGACGCAGCCACTTTGCTGTGGTCAGTGATGGGTTTGCTAATGAACAACCGTGAGCATCTGGACTGCCCGGGTCTGGCTGCGTGAGCGTGTCAGCAACTGAGAAGCTGTTCCTGGAGGACCTGCCAGGAGCCAGGGCTGCACAAGCTTTAGGCGTCAACGGTGTGCTCCTGCCCACGCAGCTTTTGCGGCTGAGTAGGACGACAGATATTCCTCAGAAAACTGAGCAGCTTGCTTCTGTGTTGAGGTGGGGGTGGGGGGCTCCAGGAGATTGAGGAGTGGGGGAAGTTACCTCCGAGCCTGGTGTCCTGCAGGCAGTGGAAAGGCGGGGCCGTTGGAGGCCCAGGGCACGGAGGAGAGCAAGCTCCACACCCATTCTTCTGCTTTCAGGCTTTCAGCGTGTGTCCTCGTTTCTGTCCCATGTGGTTACTGCTGTGGCTTCATTGGTTCCATTTAGATGTCAGTGAACATGTGCAAATGTGAAGGAAGGAAGCTGGCGTTTGTGCAGGGTCACATTGGGCTTTACAGACAGAACTGCGAAGTGCCTCCCACAGTTCCAAATGGTCCCGCACTGCTCTGGAACCCACTCTCCACCCCAGCAGACCACAGCAAAATGGCTATATAGTATAATAAGGACACTGTGACCGGAGCTGGGACAGCTTGTGCTCATTAATATTCCCAGAGCACTGAATGCATGGGAATGGCCTGTGAAGGGAGCTCCTTGAGGATTTGCTCATAATTAATGCAGAATCATTCTCAGAGTTTTTGATGAGTTGGTTATAATGAATGCAGAATAATTCCAGAGTTCTTTGACTTAATGAAGTTTGGTTTCTTTTAGAGCTGTTGGGTTGGAGCTGGAGAGATGACTCCATGGTTAAGAGCACTGGCTGCTCTTGCAGAGGACCTGGGAGGTGGCTCACAGCCACCCATAACTTTAGTTTCCTGGGATCTGATGCCCTCTTCTGGCCTCAGCAGGCACTGCAAGCACGTGATGCACATACATACAAGCTAAATATCCAACACATAAAAATTTAAAAATGAAAATAAAAATTATTATTATTCTAGCACATAACCTGATGACTGGGGGGTGCTAGAATGCCTTCCATGTGCCTTTACAGGTGTGTGCGTGTGTGTGCACGTGTATGTGTTCATGTGTGCATGTGTGTGCACGTGTGTGTATTCATGTGTGTGTGCATGTGTGTGCACGTGTGTGTTCATGTGTGCATGTGTGTGCACGTGTGTATTCATGTGTGTGTGCACGTGTGTGTTCATGTGTGCACGTGTGAGTGCATGCGTGTGTGCACGTGTGTGTATTCATGTGTGCATGTGTGTGTGCACGTGTGTATTCATGTGCGTGTGCACGTGTGTGTATTCATGTGTGCATGTGTGAGTGCTCGTGAGTGTGTGTGCATGCATGAGTGACTGCGTGTGAGTGTGTGCATTTGTGTGCACGTGTGTGAGAGCTCATGAGTATGTGTGTTCGTGAGTGTGTATGTGAATGCATGTGTATGTTATAAAGCTTCTTGTCCATTGTGCCACTTATACCTGGTTTTACCTCAAGCCACAACTCTGAAGCCTGTGTGGTTTAGATAAAATTTATCCATTTTTTATTACCTTTCGTGATAAAATTGTTACTTTTTCATTTATTGGGAAATTTTGATGTGTTGCTGGAAGCAATACCTCTCACTGTATAGAAGAGTCTGGAAGCTTCAAGGGCTGTGCCTGACCGGGTTTCTGACCGGGTTCCCACCCAGCTAATGCTCTGGGGGCTCAGGACAGGTGGATGGGGGGTCCAGTGTCACTGGTGTGCAAGGTGCGTCACAGTTGTTTGCCCGACACTCCTGCATGTGTACGATTCCCATCGTCGTCGTCGAGAACACTGGGTCCCCATCGCATCCGTTCTCACCAGCCTGTCTGTCCTTCATGTTTGCGGCGTCATCTCCTCCTGTTGCTTCTGACCGAGGACAGTGCTAAGTACAGTAATAGCAATGACAGCAATAGTACCAGTGAAGGCGCCCGCGCGAGTGTGCGCGGCAGCACAGAGTGAAGTGAGCGCTGCATCACCGCACTGCGCGAAGGGCGAGTATTGTGAGGCGTGAAGATGACAGGACAGACCCGCCAGCTCACAGTCAGGTGTCCCTTCAAGCTGTCATTGATTGCATCGTTTAAATGCATGGGGAAATTTGCTTGTGTTACCTCCTGGAAATCACCCAGTTGTCCCTGAACACGGCTACTGGGTCTCTCCTGGTCCCTGACAGGTTGGCCTGGAGACCCCCAACTTCGGGTGCGTGTGTGTAACATGTTCTGCTTTGGTCAAGCCTGCCACATGGACATGTGTTTCTGAGTGTGGTTTGGGACTTAGGAGGCCCCTTGGTGTGAGTTCATGTGTGCAGCTGTCCTGCTGTGGCCTGAGGACAAGGTCAGGTCTTACAGTCTTTCTCCCCCAGCCCCTTCCACGGTGACCCCAGGGCCTTAGGAGGAGGGGTGAGACACCGGGGCCCCACGTCGGGCTGAGCGCTCCACGGCCTCTCATCTCTGGCCACTTGTGGCTCTCTGTGTTAGCTGGCATCCACGGCAGAAGGAACCTTCTCCAATGAGCGTTAGAGTCAAGACAGGACACTGTGCTAACACGCACAGCAGGCTCAAGCCATCTCTGCAGTGACATTCTGTTTCGCCAGTGGACTTGTGGTGGTGGCTGCATCCTAGGGGCATGGCTTCAGGTGTGCACAGGTGACCCCTTATAAGGAAGAGGAGGGGTTGGCCCGTTTTATCTTGGGCGGTAGTCAAAACTCCACATGGGCAGAGACCACATCTTCAGGAGGTAGTTATTTACTATTAATTGTATTATGATATGGGAAGTCCTTCTGCGTATATGTTTGTCTTATTGGTTGATGCATAAAGCACTGCTGGCCAATAAGGAGGCAAGATAGGTGGGACTAGGAGTCAAGGAGGATTCTGGGAAATGTAAAGAGTAGAAGGTCGCTATGTGATCCCGGGAAGAGAGGACGCATGAGGCTGGCGTCCTCAGTAAGATAAGTCCTCACATTTCAGCATTGAGAGGGGAGATGGGCACAAAGTCACCCCCCACCCCCAGCGAGGGAGCTATTGGCAACTGATGGCTCTTAAGAGAGAGCCAGTTTTGAGAATGTTGCTCCTGATAAGTTGAACACATTCCAGTGGAAGGCCACGCATCCAGGAATGTGTGCACAGCAACACAAATTGGACTTGGTTGAAATAAAAAGACACTAAGTTGGGTGGGTAGGAAAGGGGGCTTGATCAGAGAGGAGCCAGGAGATGGGTGGCGATGACCAAAACACATTGTGTGAAATTCTCAAAGACCTTAGAAAAGACCATCCCTTGGCCCATTCGAGGCTCTTGGGCAGACGCTGAGAAACCTTCATGTTAAACAGCTTTCTCAGATAAACGGTGTACACGCCACGCGCGGCCACGCCACACTGGGTCACAGTGCCGCGGCCAGTTCACATGGCGTGTGGTTCTTATCGTCTTACGATAAATACTTTTCCTTTTTTCTTTTTCCTGCCATCAGGACTGGTTGGCCACGTCTGTAGCATGTTCACAGAGACCGCCACACTGTGCTTGGACGGCGACAATAAAAACAACACAGAGCCTGCGGCCACGCTGCTGGTGTCACTGCTTGACATCCTGCTGGGCATGCTGGCATACACGGCCAGCGTCGTCCGGCAGGCTTTGCAGGTAAGGCGCCCCTCCTCGGCTTGGCTTTGTATCTTCAAGGAATGTATGCTACAGATAGATGCAGCCTGCCCGGGCCATGGGAGGCGGGGGCATGATCAGGGTTAGGGTCCTGGAATCTTTAGGGAAGGCAGGAGAGCCTCCATGGGTGTCGCCTGGGAAGCCACTCTTGTGTGAGGGCAGCTTTGCCTTGGGTGTGTCCGGGGTTGGCCAGTCACGGGCAGATCTCTTTACCCACCCTCGGCAGGAAGCTGAGCATGCTGGGAACAAGAGGCCGGATGGCTGTGCGCATGTCATCTCTGTGTCTGAATCTATAGTAATCTATTCTTTCTTGTCACAAAATACCTGATTAAAAGCAGGTCATGGAGGGTTTTAAGTGGCTCACAGTTAGAAGGGAGGTAGTCGTCTGGTCATGGTGGCCAGGCATGGGGGCCGGAGAGTGAGGTGGCGGTTCCCGCTGAGTTAGCAGTGAGGTAGCAGGCAGATGGTATTAACACCGGCTCCCATCTTGCTTACTCCATTTTTCTTCGGCGATGGCCCCAACTCACGACGTACCTTGCTCTCTGGGTCACATCAAGTTGGCAGTGAAGGTTAACTATCATGGTGTGTCTGTCTGTCTGTCTCCACATATCTTCCCTCACTTGCTTTCCTTTGTAACTGACACATATGCAGAGCTGTGAGATGAGTCTGAGGATCTGGAGTGTGTTCACAGCCATGACTATGACCCATGTTTTGCACTGTGCTCTGTGAAGGGAGACGGGGTTTTAGAGGATACTGTTGTGTGGTAGGCCCATTTCATTTTAACCCACTGACCAGCCGAGTCACGTGACACTTAGAGCAGGAGAATGGCACTCTGCAAGGTCAAAGCACTGGCCTGTCTAAAATCCTGGTGAAACGTCAGATGGTCCCTCTCAGCGCGGATAGAAGCGGACACCACGGTTGGGGCAGAAGTGTCGTCTCCTCATCTCTCCTCTTCCTGCCGCACCCCCACGGGCGTGTCTTCAAACAGTGGTTTGTGACGATGTCCCGTCAGATGCGGAGCACTCGATGATCAGTGTCTGTGGAGGATTGCGCCACGGAGACGGTGAATGAAGGGATCAGAAGCTGATGGACTCCAGGACAGGGGCCTTGCTCTTTGTAGTTCCAGGCGGTTAGGTAGAGACTCGGGATTTTAAAAACCGAAGCTCCTTAGCAGGGAACGCTTCCCGTTTCTCTTCATGTTGCCCACGCCCACCTCAGTACGTCAGGGTTCCTCTGTTCTCTTTGTAGCCTTTGACCCTGCTGTACTCTCTGTCCTCCTCAGAGCCTGAGCTGGGGATGGCTCTCTGAGGTGGCTGCCGACTTTGATCTCCCTAACGCCTAGTGTCCCTCTGCAGGAAGTGCGTCCTTGAGGCTGAGTTGGGGGAGGAGTTGGGAGAGAAGCAGAGTGTGTGCTTGTCAAAGGCAAGTCCACCCGCTGGGGCCTGGGGTGAGTGGGTGAGGGAGAGCCGTGACAGCAGGGTCTCCATCAGTTCCTACCCAGTGGTCGCACGATTGAGAATCAGTGCTAGTCTCCCTTCCCAAGCGTGGGAAGGCACAGGGAACTCATGGGCATCTCGAGAGACATGGGGATCCCCTCTGTTCAAACCCCAAACATGACCTCTATGTGCGGGACTCTGTGCCGTACACCCCGCTGTCTGCACACTGGTTTTCTCCTCCGTGAAGCTGGCACTGTACTTCTGTGAAACCTACAAGAGAGAGTAGAGCATACTCTATCGTCATGTGTGAGCATCTTCCACATGCCTGGTCCTGACAAGGTAGCAGTAACCACTGCCTGTGTTGTGAGCACCGGGGGAACAAAAGCACTTACCACCCTGTTGGCCGTCGGCTGCCTTAAAGGCTGACAAAACCAACCCCTGGGAAGCCGTTGTGATATGGTGCTATCTGCACTTAGGATCCCAGCATAGAGTCAGGAATTTGTAACCCCAGCCAGATGAGGAGAGAATGGGGTGTGGTAGAGACATCTGTTTAGACAGCACCCCACAGTCTGTCTCTGCTGACCAGCGGGAACCTGTGCGTTCATCACCATCTGCTGTAGGAAGCAACTTCTCAGGCGAGGGTTGACGGACACAGCGATCTGTGGGTGCAGCAGTCGTTAGGAGTCCTTTCACAGGAACGACAGCAGCAGGTTCCTCATACCCACACCCAGGCCCAGGGGTCATTGAGGTCTAAGAACCAGCGGCGGTGGATGAACAAGGAAACTGCCCCCCAGACACAAGGGCAAACGCTCACGTGAACTCGGTGACTGACAGCGAGCAGGACCCACACAGCGATCCAGACAAAACCCCAGCGTGGAAAGGGGAGGCGGACATGAAACCACGCCTTGCCGAGGAGCTGTTGGCAAGTGATAGCTGCTTGGAGAGAGTCTGTTCTCCTCAGGGGGTGGCCCCTGGTGGGTCAACCGCTACCCAGGACAGGCCCCACCCACAAGAGCATTTGAACAGCGTAAGTTGGGTGGGTTTCAAAAATCGGAAGAACATGAAGCTGGGCGGTTAGGGAAGTGTGGGAGGGGATGTGTTAGGAGCTGGGGGAAGGGTGAATGTGATCAAAATACATTGGATACGATTCTCAAGGGATTGATAAAATGGGGTGGTTTTTGTTTGTTTTTTAAAAAGAAAGGAACATTAGTTTTTAGGGACCATTCAGTTGTTTAGTCAGGGAAGCCTGTCAATGTACAATGCTTAAATGTGTGGAGTTGCAGTGATCTGAAGGTCGGGGTACTCCAGATGGGCAAAGGGGGGCTCCTGGATCCAGTTTTGGGATTGGGCAGAACACCAGACTTCCCTGTTGGGTTCTGTCTCCCAGTGCTGAGGTGGCAGCATCGAAAGCTTGCTGCGGGGGACAGTCAGGCCGTGTTGTCCGTGTCAGTGTGGTCCCCGCACTGACCAGCACTTGGTCTCTCACAAGGCCGGGGTGGCTGGGCTGTCCTCCATGTCTGTGGTGCGTTGTGGAACTTGTCACTTTGCGTCTCCTTGGTCTTCCCTTGTGACTCCGCCCCATGGACCACCTTCTGGTTGCATCTTGGATGTGTGTGACATTTTCACTGTCATCCTGGTCAAGCCCTCCTTTCCCTTAAAAACAGCAGTGGTCCATCGCTCCCTATGGGGTGACTTTCTGACTCAAGAAGAGACATCCTGGGTCTTCACTCCCCACCCCACCCCAGGGTGCCTCTGCAGGCTCCCCTGCCGCTCCTCTGCCTGCCCAGCCTCAAACCAAGCATCCTGGCTTCCTTCCTCCCTCGCCTCCTCAGTGCTGGGATGACCCCAGGGCCTTGTGCATCTGAAGCAAGGGCTCCACCATGGGGCTGTATCCTCAGCCCTACGATGGGTGTGGTCACAATGGTTTTAGCATGACGACTGTCCCGTCGCCATTGGCAGAACCTTTCTGTGTTGGTGGAGTTTAAACCTGGGGCCTCATGCATGCGAGGCAAGTTGCATCGCCACATGATGGGTCGTGGGTAGACCTCAGCGTTAAGTGACAGAGTCTTGTTGTCCCCTCCCTCTGCACAGATTCGCCTGGCCTCTGCTCATCAGGACCTATGTGGAGCTCCTGATGGCGTCACTAGACTCAGGGGGGGCGGCTGGAAGTGGCAGGACTGTCTTTAGAGCTGGGAGTTTTTTATACTGAGAAATTGCATGTGTTTTCTTTTTATTCCGTTTAGATCACGTTGCATTTACTGTTAAATATGGCTCATTAGTTGATATTCCCATGTTGGGGAAATATCATGTATGTATTTCTTCAAGAGCTCTCTGAGACCCACGCTCATACACCTAACAGTTTGCTTGTTGTGACCTGCAGATGCCCTGGGGACTAATGCTGAGGTCACCATTTGCTCCCAAAGATCATTCCCCCATTGCAAGTCATGCCAGCCTCCCCCGAAGCAACCCATCCCGCCCTCCCCACACAGTAACCCATGCTAGCCCTTTCCTGCTCCACAAACCAGGGACCCTGGTATTTTCCTCTTTTTTATTTGTCCACACCCAGTCTTCAATGTAATTACGTCTCTGCAAGCCTCAGCCAGGCTGCTGTCTTCTCGTACCTGGGCTGCAACACCTGGGCAGGTCTAGGACGCTGCGTGAAGGGACAGTGTCTTCTTAGAAAAGAGTCATTGGGACGGGAGGCAGAGGTGGAGGATCTGGATGGCGAGGCCAGTGGCTGTCTGGTGTAGGGACAGGAGCCCCAGCATACCCAGGGGGCAGAGAGCTGGGAGTCGGGGCCAGCCTAAAGAGTGAGATGCTGAGGTGTGAAGAGAGGCAGGCCTGAGCTCTGTGGTCTCTCTGGGCCTCTCTCTGGGGGCTGCCACATCCATGAGGGCCCCTTGTGGTGCGGAGCTCCGTCACAGGTGGGGTCAGCTCTTTGCGATGGGTGTCACTAAGCTTTTAATGTGTTCCTCTTACAAACTGCCAAGTTAATTACAGTTGAGGTCTCTTTCTGGAAGCCATGTCCACTGTAGGGAGGTAGCACTGGAGAGTGGCCCGTGACAGGTGCCCACACATGGGCCTGTCCCGTGACCCGCGGGCCTGTCCCGTGGCCTCATCTGCCAGCTCAGAAGGCGTAGACAGGGTTGCTGGCCCCACAGTGTCTGCTGCAGCTCACCTCCTAATCTGCAAACCTGTCTTAGCCTTACCAGTAGACATCAGTGTCAGCTCCAGGACGGAGTGTTAATGTTTAATGTGCAAAGGCTGTACAACGCAGCAGCCTGTGCCTCAGAAGGCGGGGGGATCAGCAGCCACGGTGCTGGGAGGCTCAGGTCTCCAGGAGAAAACTGCTTTTCTTAGAAACGGGCGGGGTGGGGGCAGAGAGCAAGCTAACAGTTGCCGTTCTTCCCCTCAGCCCGGAAAGGTGCGAGTGGTTAGGAGGCGTGGGATCCTCAGCAAAGTCCTCTGCACCAGCAGTAGCAATAAAATAACCAGACAGGTGAAACCCGTTTGCGGGCCCGAAGTGCAGGAATCTTGGCTTTTTGGGAAGGACCCTGGAGTCCAGGTTCATGATCTGGGGCAGAGAGGCCTGATCTGCAGGTCAGGATAAGGTCGTGTTCTAAAAGCCAAGACAGAGAAGCCTCCTAGAGCTAAGGTGGTAGGGGAACCCGTTCTGAATACAAAGCACTTCATCTCCATGTAGGAATGTTTGCAGTAGGTTCTGTGAAGGCCCGCAGAGAAGGTCTATCTCAGATCAGGACTTGTCTCTTGTTCCAGGGCAGTGTAAGCCTGTGTGTAGTGGTTGGTGTTGTCAGCTTCCTGGAGTCTGGACTCACTTGGGAAACGAGGCTCTAGGCGTAGCTGGGAGGAACTGGCTGTGTACTGATGTGGGAAAACCTATCTCCACCGTGGGCTGACCATTCCCTGGGCAGGAACTGGCTGTGTACTGATGTGGGAAAACCTATCTCCACCGTGGGCTGACCATTCCCTGGGCAGGAACCCTAGCCAAGCGCCCATGCACTCATGGCTCCCTGCTTCCTGATTGGGAATGCAATGGTGCAAGCTGTTTCACGCCCCTGCCAACATAACTTCCCTCGGTATCTGGTCCCCTTGAACACTGAGCCAGAATAAAGGCCTTTCCCCTTAATCTGCTTTTGCCAGGGTATTTTTATCGCAGCCACAGAAAAGTAAGTAAGATGGCGTCCTGAGGACTGGAGAACCATCCTTGAAGCCTGTTTATGTAGGTCAGCTGTTATGTGTCATAGGTGTGCATTGAAACACCCAGAGATGAGTGTTGTGACTCGGTACTGGATGGCCTTGTTACTTATCCTGCGGCTTTAGATAGCCGGATTAAAGTTTCCTTCCCCCAAAAAGATGCTTTGGGTATGTGTGTATGTGTGTGTGTGTGTGTCTCTGTGTGTGCCTATATCTGTGTGTGCGTATCTCTGTGTGTGTGTATCTCTGTGCGTGTGTGTGTGTCTATATCTGTGTGTGTATCTCTGCATGTGTGTGTATCTCTGTGTGTGTGTGTAAGTACCATGTATATGTGTGTGCTATGTGGCCTGCATGCATTCATGTGTACTCACAGGCCAGAGGACCTGCTCCTTCACTGTCTGCTTCCTTGTTTTGAGTAAACCGATGCTGAGATGGAGGCCAGAAAGCCTCAGGGAGCCTCCTGCCTCTGCCCCCACAGCCACGCCTGGGTTTTCATTTGAGTGCCAGGATCTGAATTCAGATCCCTTGTGTTTACATAACACTCTAATCTCTGGCTGTCACCTAGATTAAGATTGTCTAGATCTCAGTTTTTTCACTTAGGAAGTGGGTGAGAAGCCTGGAATTAGGTTGGCTGGGACGATAGGGTGCTTACCCATGGCAGGGTAGACAACCTGTGCATCTGACTAGGAAAGAGTGCGTGCGTGCGTGCGTGCGTGCGTGCGTGTGTGTGTGTGTGTGTGTGTGTGTGTGTGTGTACAGTTGGTTCCCACCTGGCTGTGCTGGTTGGGACGCCTGTGGAACCTTTAGAGGCGAAGCCTCACTAGAGGAAGTGGGTCGCTGTGGGCGGGGCTTGAGGCTTTCTAGTCTAGCTTTGTTTTTTTGTCTACTCTCTGTAGGCATTTCGGGCTGGATCGGGTGGGACAGGTGTTCTGGCACTCGGGAGTCACAGAATACTGAGTGTTACAGCTCAGGTGGAAAGGTATCCTGGAGCTCGGGAGCCAAGGATCACCACAGGCCCCAGTAAGCTTAGCAGTTTACAGTCCTGCCTCAGAGAAAGGCTTTCCCAGTGTATCATCGGCTCAGCTCCTGAAGGACAGGGTCTTCCAGCTGGGGATGTTCGCCTAGTGAAGCAGTTTTGCTCAGCAGGAGGTTTCTCCGGCCGAAGTTGTTATAGTTCAGCTCTGCTCCTGGAGAGCCAGAGAGAGTAAAGCCGGGGGCAGAGTATAACAACTCCGCTCTACCAAGGGAAGGTTTCCTGGCAAAAGTGTTACAGCCCTGCTGGCTCTGCTCTGCTCTGCCCAGGGTCGCCTCTGCTCTGCCGCTGCCACAAAAGGAGGTCTTCACCCAAAGCTCATTGAAGGGGTTTATTGGGAGGGAAGAATCCAGGAGTGGCTGCCCTCTGCCAGAGAAAGCAGAGGACAGCCTGGTAGCGTGAACAGCCACAAGCTGAACAGACACAGGGTTTATATAGGGCTTCCAGGGTGGGGATTGGTCAGATTTTAGTGCTGAGCTCAGATTGGCTAGAGCTCTGCTCGAGGATTGGTTAGTTTTCTGCACAGGATTAGGGTCAGATTTGGCTCTGGTTTCAGGGCCAAAGTATGTTTCTTTCTCTGGTCCTTGATAGCCTTTTGGCTCCAATTTTAGGGCCAGGGTGCATTTCTTTCACTGGCTCTGATTCCAGGGGCAAAGTGTGTTCCTTTGGCTCTGCTCAGGGTGTGTTTCTTTGGCTCTACTCAGGGTGTGTTCCTTTGGCTGGTCCCTTTTCCCTACACTCTCTGCTTCCCAATCCACCCCGACGCGAGTGTCAGCCTCAGGCCCCTGTCCCCACAGTTGAGAGCACCTTTTACCACCACGCCTTCTACTGTGATGGACTGGACCTTCAAAGTGTGGCCAGTGCCCCGACCCTCGGGGACAAGTCACCGTGGGCTATCCTGGGGGGGACAAACGGGGGACAGGAGACACAAGGAATGGGAGCAGGACAGCGGGGCTGACCAAGGATTTCGTACAAGCTGACATAGGAGATGTGGCCTGGGATGGGCAGAGGGATGTCGGAGTTTTTGGACTGGAGGCTCTGAGGACTGGGACAGGGGCCATCAGAAGCAGGAAGCGTTTGATAAGTGATGAGCAGGAGACTGCACCAGGGAGTGCGGGTGTTAAGGAAGCATTGTTAAGGGATGGGCCATCTCTATGGCGCCAGGCCATCTGTGGAAAGGCGCCTGAGTTCTGGGAAGTTACTGTGACCTGGTCCTCAACAGGCTAGAATAAGTACTTCCTCCTTATTCTTTTTCTTTTGGGGGGTTGTTTGTTTTGAGACAGGGTCTCATTGCATGGTCTTTGCTGGCCTGGAATGTTCTATGAACCAGGCTGGTCTTGATCACACAGCGATCCACCTGCCTCTGCCTCCTGAGTGTCGGGGTTAAAGGCACCACACCCCACAGAGTTGCTCCTTTGAGACGCTTTGTCACGGCGCTGACATGAGGGAGGAAGCTAATGTGGAGCCAGCACCTTCCTGCAGCGCCTGCCCCATCTGCGCCACGCTGTCTGGGGCTCTCCAGGCCTGCACTCCTGCCGCGCTGTCACGGAGCACAGAGTCTGTCCCGAGGCCTCCGTCCTTCCAACACATGGGGACCAGGGCAGCACCTCGGCCCCTCTTATCTGCCGTCCAAGTGCACCTGCCTCTCGCTGCCAAGTTGACTAATCACCTAGATCACTTGTATTTCTTTTCCTTTCATTCCAGGCCCAGAAGTCAGGCTCGAGAGGGGACACACAGGCAGCAGAGGAGCTGCTGCTGCTCAGCAAACCGCTCACAGACCTCATCAGCCTGCTTATCCCGCTGGTAAGGCCTCGCCTGTGTGAGGGCTCGCCTCTGTGGGACACATGTGTGAGGACACGTGTGAGGGCTCGCCTGTGCCAGGGTGCTGGTAATTGTGTAGGTTTAATTGTATCCAGGCAGTGAAGGCGTAGTTATGTGTGGCTGCCTGTAATCCCAGGACTCGGGAGGCTGGGGCAGGAAGATTGGCATGAACTTGACTCCAGCCTGGGCTGTGTAGTACGTTCAGGCCAACTTGAGTTGCAAAGTGAGACCTTGTCTTATCACTCAAACAAACCCAAATGAACAGACCAAACAACCCTAAAGGTTCAGCCGGGGAAGAAGGTTTGCGTCATAAATTGCAAATGGCACAAGGAATGCAGGAAGTGTGAATTGGGCGCTTGTGAACTGGGCAAGCTGCTGTGGTAATAAGGGGAGACATGGCATTGTGTGTGTGGGCTCACCTCTGCCCTTACCAGCTGGGGGAGGGGACCGACACAGCAGCGTGTGACCTATTGGTTGATTCCACCAATGGTAATTAGTTATGAGGAGGCTGTGGGTGCTCAGTCAGCTAGACTTGGCTCCGTAAGCACCACGCAGTCTGGCCAGCGCTGGCAATAGTGGGGTTCTTTTCCTGCTTCAGCACGATCTGACTTAATCCCCCTGTTCTGTGATGTGGGGCCCATCCTTTACTTTACAGAAAAGGCCCCTGCAGCTGTCAAATCTAGAAACCCAAAACTTGAGAGCTTAAATGTCTGCCCTCAACACCCACGCACACTTCACCAATGTTCTCACTGGCCTCTGGATTTGCTTAGAACCCATGAAACCCTGATCTCAGCCACATTCAGAAATAGTCGGACTGGCAGGGAGTGCGTTGGGTTAAACGGCTTCTGTGTTTCTGGTATTGTTTTTAAGTGTCAGGGGTTTCCCATGACAAGAATGGCAGTTCTGACCGCAAGCGCCCTTCACAGCCGAGGCTCCCGTGGCTTCAGAAGTGCGGAGGGGAGGCTTTGCCCATCCTGTCCCACAGACAGTGACAAACACATTGATGAAAAAGGTGCTTGCCAATCTCACAAAGCGTTTTTGTTTAGGAATGATGAAAGAGGCGGTTTATACTCCCGCGATGCAGTCATATCCAGTTCCTTAGCAGATGTAATTAGGGAATGTAAGTGATTAAGAGATGCCTTCAAAGTGCAGGCCCCAGCCTCACACGGTCGCTCCGTCTGCCGGCACTGTTTGCCACAGGTGCTGTGATCTCTGGGCATTGCTGGCGTTGAGTGATAAACTTACTCTCAGGGGAGGAGAGCAGTCAGTCCCACCCCCTCTTCTAGAGAACGTTGCCCTCTTTCGGAATAGCCGGTTCAACAGGTGTCTGTCCAGGGTGATGAAGTCTAAAGCATGACCCGGCTGCAGTGAGACTCCTCACCCTGGAGCGGAGCGGAGCGCACCCCGACTTGAAAGGCCTTGAGCATGAATGCAGACGTGTACCCGCGTTCCTTGTTTTGAGCTGATCTCTCCTGTAAGCCGGCGATTCCTGGAGTCAGTCCTCAGGTGGATCTTTGAAGTCGGCAGACGTGGCCCACCCCGCCCAGCACAGCTGCGCTGCCTGCAGAGTCTGACGTGTCAGCTCTCGTCTCCTCCATCTGCCCCTCTGCCACCTCAGGCCTCCAGAAGTCTCCCAGGACGGCACAGAGGCTCCCACAGAAGCATCTTTTTGTCTTAAATTCTCTTATATGTTACTTAAGACAGCTACTGTGTGCCCAGGTTGGCCAACAGCCGTGCATTTCATTTCCATTGAGCTCGTATGAGGCATAGATGACAAGTCAGTGACTAACCCGACACAGGGTTCCTTACTCGAGCTGGAGTTGTGTATGGCTCAAGGCTGGGATGGCAAGGATTGCAACCACCCAGCCAGTGCTCTCGAGCGTGGGACTCTGTCTCTGAGGCCATAGGGAATTGACAGGAAGAGCAGGTGAGGGCGCCCAGCTCGGTGGGGCTGGGTCAGGAACAACTTGACCGCTTTCCTAACTGTCGTTAGCCCATGTGCGTCATTGGCTTGTGTCATATGTGTGTCATTGGCTCACATTGTCACATGTGTGTCATTGACTCATGTTGTCATGTGTGTCATTGGCTGACATCACACGTGTGCCATTGGCTCACATTGCCATGTGTGTCATTGGTTCTTGTTGTCACGTGAGTGCATTGGCTCGTGCATGTCTGAATTTTGCCTTATCTTCTGCTTCTACCACATTGAGCCACCCTCCTTTTGTCAGCCCCTCAGCCCCCAGCCTGCCTGAGACGCTGTGTCCTGCTCACACCAGAGTCCCTGGCGCAGAGTCCGGCGTCTCCTTCATAGTCTTGTGCTTACGGTTAGAGCCCTCCCCTCGTCTCCTCTACTTGGACGGGTTTCCTTCTGGATGGAGACTGCACAGTCACGCGCTTAGCTCTTGTCACCCTCTGACAGGTCCCCTGTGTTCCCATGCAGCTCCCCAGAACACCTCCTCCTACTGACCACTGTAGAGTGCCGGTGTGTGAGAATTTCCCCGGGACAGCACTGTCCCCAGAGGGGGCCCAGCTCTCTGAGATGCTGGCTGCCAGCCTGAGGCTCTAGAGGACCGGCGGGCATTTGCCTAGTGTATGTGAAGTGATTGTGTGTCCCCAGGGTCTCACTGGGGCCTTCAGCATCAACAATGGCCGATGACAACGTCCTGCTCTTCTCTGGGAGGTATTAGCACACATTTATAGGTTTGCATAAAACGAAGAAAAATAGTAATAAAGCTACTGAGCACCTCACTACAGCACGCACCAAGTAAAGATAAATTTTACAACGGCTGTTTAAAGATGCAATAGGCGACAGGAGAAGGCCCCGGGAATGCTCTTCTACGCGGAAGAATAAATGAACTTTGAGTTTTAGTTGGGCTCGGATGACTTTGGGAGCGTCAGCCTAAAGGCAGGAGGATGAACTTGGTAGTTTTGAGGCTCTTTGCAAATGTGGTCCAGGGAAAGTAAACCCCGAAGAGACTAGAACCCGTCAACCCAGAGTCGTGCACAAAGCGATGCTTCCTTGTTTGGGGTGCGTGTCTGAGACCCTTAAGGATGCTTGAGACCCTGCATGAACTCAAAAGTGAGCTGGCCCCCTACTGACCATGCTCTGGCCATGATGCATCAGCCATACCAGGGCGTGTGGGGTTTTAGATGGGCTCTCTCCCTGGGTACATGACATACAGTAGTTTCTTCTTACGCTGGGTCACAGCAATGAGCTGCCGTTGTTCCCTGCCTTCCATCATGGGATGGAACAGCCCACACAGTGCGTTGCATTGCGAGCTTTGATATTTGGTGGAGGAAGGGGGTTAAATGCGTTTCAGCTCACATTTTCAGTATGCTATGGGTTTAGCTAGAGCAGTAGTTCTCAACCTGTGGGTCACAACCACTTTGGGGGTTACCTAAGACCATCAGAAAACACACATTACAATTCATAAAGTGGTAAAATTAGTTATATAGTAGCAATGAAAGTAATTTTAAGTTGGGAGTCACCACAATAGAGGAACTGTATTAAAGGGTCACAGCGTTAGGAATGTTGAGAACCACTGATCTAGAGTTAATTCCGTTGTAAGTCAGGAAGCGTCTACATCATGCATTTTTTTTTCCTGTATGTACATTCCGGTGATAAAATGTAACATGTAAATTAGGCGCAGTTTAGGGTGACGTAAGCGGTTAACAATGGAGCAGTGGCAGCAGTACTTCCCAGTAAGAGGCTGTCCCTACCCCAAACACTATGCTGTCCGCATCCCTCTGCTGAGACCCAGGGGGCTCAGTGCTACGTCACAGGCTGACATCGCCTTCTCTGAGGGCCCCTGGGAAGTTATTCTGAGCGGTGTGGTGGAACTGCCCACTCTCCGGCCCCAGCAGCCCCTGCCCTGTGTATCCACCTTGCTGCCTCCCAGTCACCGCCGGCTACCTCAGTTGCCAGATCAGCCGCGCTCTTTCAGCGCTTCCTCTCAGGCAGCAAGGGAACAGCAGCTTCTGGAAACTTGTGTAATGTTCCCAGCCTGTGGTTACTCGTGGACACAGCGTAGGAGACTCACGGTGTAAGGTCCGTGAAAGGCATCAGTCCCTGGTCTGTTCTGATAGCTTCCTGTCTCCATGTCGTCTTTGCATGAACATGTCTGGGTTCAGTAGTGTTCAGTGCTCTGCACGTAATTCTCAGAGTCTCAGGGGCTCTGCGATTCTCACGTGGCATCCATAGTGCATCCACAGTGCGCGAACATTGGTTTCTCTGCCTCTTCTGCTGCATGGCCAGCCCTTTTCTGGCAGAGGCCATAGCTCTCTGTTCCATCTTGGGCCCTAGGTAGGACGGAGATTCAATACAAATTGCCTAGGAAAGGGTGGATAACACAGTAAATCCTCACACTGTGACTGAGAAGAAACCAAGTCTGTTCACCTAGTTGTATGCGCCTCCCCATTGTCCTCTGCTGAGCTGTCTTCTCCTCAGAGGGTAAGCAGTGGGGACAGCTGGCAGCCACGCACCTTAGCAGCACAGAATCTTCTCTCTGGTGTCTGCCCTGTCCTTGGCATGTAGGTCTGCAATGGCTTTCACTGGGCGGTTTATATTTCTGAAACCGCTTGTAGCCTGCCTCAGACTGACCAGAGACTGTGTGCTTCTAGAAGATGACTGTACTTGCAACCCTAACATCCCGGCAGCTCTGGTGAGAACGGAGTCTCTGAGCATCGAATATGCATGCTTGTCTGTGGACATGCCATCCTGAATGTGCCTGGTTTGATCAAAATAGATGCCACACACTGTCACCCTCTTCTGCAAGGAGCGACCCAGGGTGTGGCAGTTGCCGTTTAGACTTGGGCAGCTTTAGAGAGGAAGTGCCCCCTCCCATTGCTCTATGGACATTTTTCTTGATGTGGTTGCAATGCAGGTTTTTAACAGCATTTTGTTCTTGGCTGGGGTGCCCTGATCTAAGTGAAACAGATAAACAAAACCCACAAAGCACTCACTGATGGGGTACAAAGGGTCC